CTTGCCCTATACACGAAATCACAGCTTCCCCATCTTCATCAATATTTAACAATTCCTCAAAATATTCCCTCCATCTTCCCAATACCTCTAATTCTCCATTTAATAACTCTCCTCTCCTATTTTTAACTGACAAATCCATTTGTTCTCTAGGCTTTCTTAACTTGTTAATAAAAAATCAAAATAGAAAGCAATAGTAATATAAGAGGGGCCTAGAGACATGACTAATGAACAGAGGATATGTTATTTTAGTGCCAAGAATGTCTGCATAGTTTATTCTGGACCCTGTTTTGAAATTGGCATCTTTTTAAATTTGCATGAAATTGGCCAAATTGCCAATTTCTGACCACTTTATTGGGTAGTTCAAATCGGTAAATGGGTGGTTTCTTGTACTCAACTGATACAAAAAATGGAGTACTAAAGAAATAGCTATGAGTTTGGTCAACTGTAACAACAGAATTGGCCAAAAACACGGCTCAAAGTCAGCGAAATCGCCGATGCGTATGTCGCCGAAACCGCTAACTTCGTGGGAGCGTAATTCCGTGAGTTTTCGACCAAATTTTGTACTTTTGGTGTCATTACCATTGGGAAAAGATTCTCTATCATTTCATAAGATATTTTTTTTTTCCCAAAAAATTTTGCGACAGAATGACGGTTTCAGAAAGGGGGTTGTGACAGTCAAAGGGTTAAAGGTGTCTTCTCCAAGCACAAAAATTCAGAGTTACCTTTCCTACACTGCTGGGTGGTATGATGCCTCCCTTTGGTCAAACCTCTTTGCCCCTTCATTGATGTTCATCCACATGCTTTTGGTAGGGAGAGACCTTTGTGACTAGTTTTGAGGCTTGCCTTCTGGTGCTTTTTCTGATGTATGGTGTATACAGTGGTTCACTTCTTTAGTCCGATACATGGTTGGCCTCTTCCAGGTGTGGGCTTTGCTCAGGACCATATTTGAAGATCTCTCACTCACTGGGCCGGCACACTTGTCATCAATAGTTTTTAAATCACCCCTTCTCTCTGGGCTATGGTCTGCATGACCATCCCTCTGGGATTCAAACCTCCATTCAGTGCTGCTTCCTCTTGACTCTATGGTACTGGGCCTCTTGTGGCTAGAGCTGCATAATATTACATTTTAATTAGATAACTTCAGTTCTTTGAAAGGAGCTCCATGTGCCAATTATTTTTTCTGCCTCCCTAACTGTTATGTCTCGGATGCCTACTGGAGCTTAGAGGTTTGCTGACTTCCAAGTTGTTGCTGGTCCTAACAAGCAACTTGCAGTATTGAAACAAGCAATGGTAAATGGGACCCAGTACTGAATATGAGATGCACTTGCAGTAAGGTGCCTCTGCTGGGGCCAGAGAGGCAAGTACAGTATCAGCATGAATGAAGCATGTGTTCCTGGTGAACCCCTGGAGCTCTTTAAGGAAGGATTAATTTTTTCTCATCAAAAAGTAGTATTACAGATAATGATAAATAGTTTTGTGTACAGGATTGCTGGTTTCTTTTTCTGTCTCATAAACACGCTAGATAACAGGGATACCTTGCTACTCCTACTTACACTTTGGTCACACTTCACAGACACGCACATGCATATATATATACATACATCTAGGTTTTTCTCCTTTTTCTAAATAGCTCTTGTTCTTCTTTATATCTTCTGTTGTCCATGGGGAAGTGGAAAAGAATCTTTCCTCCGTAAGCCATGCGTGTCGTATGAGGCGACTAAAATGCCGGGAGCAATGGGCTAGTAACCCCTTCTCCTGTAGACATTTACTAAAAAAGAGAAGAAGAAAAACTTTTTAAAACTGGGATGCTTAAATGAGCATGGATGTAGTGCGGATGACAAGAAACAGATGATTGCTGATGTTATGAATGAAAAGAAGTTGGATGTCCTGGCCCTAAGCGAAACAAAGCTGAAGGGGGTAGGGGACTTTCGGTTGGGGAAAATAAATGGGATTAAATCTGGAGTATCTGAGAGAGTTAGAGCAAAGGAAGGGGTAGCAGTAATGTTGAATGATCAGTTATGGAAGGAGAAAAGAGAATATGAATGTGTAAATTCAAAAATTATGTGGATTAAAGTAAAGGTTGGATGCGAGAAGTGGGTCATAATAAGCGTGTATGCACCTGGAGAAGAGAGGAATGCAGAGGAGAGAGAGAGATTTTGGGAGATGTTAAGTGAATGTATAGGAGCCTTTGAACCAAGTGAGAGAGTAATTGTGGTAGGGGATCTGAATGCTAAAGTAGGAGAAACTTTTAGAGAGGGTGTGGTAGGTAAGTTTGGGGTGCCAGGTGTAAATGATAATGGGAGCCCTTTGATTGAACTTTGTATAGAAAGGGGTTTAGTTATAGGTAATACATATTTTAAGAAAAATAGGATAAATAAGTATACAAGATATGATGTAGGGCAAAATGACAGTAGTTTGTTGGATTATGTATTGGTAGATAAAAGACTGTTGAGTAGACTTCAGGATGTACATGTTTATAGAGGGGCCACAGATATATCAGATCACTTTCTAGTTGCAGCTACACTGAGAGTAAAAGGTAGATGGGATACAAGGAGAATAGAAGCATCAGGGAAGAGAGAGGTGAAGGTTTATAAACTAAAAGAGGAGGCAGTTAGGGTAAGATATAAACAGCTATTGGAGGATAGATGGGCTAATGAGAGCATAGGCAATGGGGTCGAAGAGGTATGGGGTAGGTTTAAAAATGTAGTGTTAGAGTGTTCAGCAGAAGTTTGTGGTTACAGGAAAGTGGGTGCGGGAGGGAAGAGGAGCAATTGGTGGAATGATCATGTGAAGAGAGTAGTAAGGGAGAAAAAGTTAGCATATGAGAAGTTTTTACAAAGTAGAAGTGATGAAAGGAGGGAAGAGTATATGGAGAAAAAGAGAGAGGTTAAGAGAGTGGTGAAGCAATGTAAAAAGAGAGCAAATGAGAGAGTGGGTGAGATGTTATCAACAAATTTTGTTGAAAATAAGAAAAAGTTTTGGAGTGAGATTAACAAGTTAAGAAAGCCTAGAGAACAAATGGATTTGTCCGTTAAAAATAGGAGAGGAGAGTTATTAAATGGAGAGTTAGAGGTATTGGGAAGATGGAATATTTTGAGGAATTGTTAAATGTTGATGAAGATAGGGAAGCTGTGATTTCGTGTATAGGGCATGGAGGAACAACCTCTTGTAGGAGTGAGGAAGAGCCAGTTGTGAGTGTGGGGGAAGTTCATGAGGCAGTAGGTAAAATGAAAGGGGGTAAAGCAGCCGGGATTGATGGGATAAAGATAGTAATGTTAAAAGCAGGTGGGATATAGTTTTGGAGTGGTTGGTGCAATTATTTAATAAATGTTTGGAAGAGGGTAAGGTACCTAGGGATTGGCAGAGAGCATGCATAGTTCCTTTGTATAAAGGCAAAGGGGATAAAAGAGAGTGCAAAAATTATAGGGGGATGAGTCTGTTGAGTATATCTGGCAAAGTGTATGGTAGAGTTATTATTGAAAGAATTAAGAGCAAGACGGAGAATAGGATAGCAGATGAACAAGGAGGCTTTAGGAAAGGTAGGGGTGTGTGGACCAGGTGTTTACAATGAAACATATAAGTGAACAGTATTTAGATAAGGCTAAAGAGGTCTTTGTGGCATTTATGGATTTGGAAAAGGCGTATGACAGGGTGGATAGGGGGGCAATGTGGCAGATGTTGCAGGTGTATGGTGTAGGAGGTAGGTTACTGAAAGCAGTGAAGAGTTTTTACGAGGATAGTGAGGCTCAAGTTAGAGTATGTAGGAAAGAGGGAAATTATTTCCAAGTAAAAGTAGGCCTTAGACAAGGATGTGTGATGTCACCGTGGTTGTTTAATATATTTATAGATGGGGTTGTAAGAGAAGTAAATGCGAGGGTCTTGGCAAGAGGCGTGGAGTTAAAAGATAAAGAATCACACATAAAGTGGGAGTTGTCACAGTTGCTCTTTGCTGATGACACTGTGCTCTTGGGAGATTCTGAAGAGAAGTTGCAGAGATTGGTGGATGAATTTGGTAGGGTGTGCAAAGAAGAAAATTGAAAGTGAATACAGGAAAGAGTAAGGTTATGAGGATAAAAAGATTAGGTGATGAAAGATTGGATATCAGATTGGAGGGAGAGAGTATGGAGGAGGTGAATGTATTCAGATATTTGGGAGTGGACGTGTCAGCGGATAGCTCTATGAAAGATGAGGTGAATCATAGAATTGATGAGGGGAAAAGGGTGAGTGGTGCACTTAGGAGTCTGTGGAGACAAAGAACTTTGTCCTTGGAGGCAAAGAGGGGAATGTATGAGAGTATAGTTTTACCAACGCTCTTATATGGGTGTGAAGCATGGGTGATGAATGTTGCAGCGAGGAGAAGGCTGGAGGCAGTGGAGATGTCATGTCTGAGAGCAATGTGTGGTGTGAATATAATGCAGAGAATTCGTAGTTTTGAAGTTAGGAGGAGGTGCGGGATTACCAAAACTGTTGTCCAGAGGGCTGAGGAAGGGTTGTTGAGGTGGTTCGGACATGTGGAGAGAATGGAGCGAAACAGAATAACTTCAAGAGTGTATCAGTCTGTAGTGGAAGGAAGGCGGGGTAGGGGTCGGCCTAGGAAAGGTTGGAGGGAGGGGGTAAAGGAGGTTTTGTGTGCGAGGGGCTTGGACTTCCAGCAGGCATGCGTGAGCGTGTTTGATAGGAGTGAATGGAGACAAATGATTTTTAATACTTGACGTGCTGTTGGAGTGTGAGCAAAGTAACATTTATGAAGGGGTTCAGGGAAACCGGCAGGCTGGACTTGAGTCCTGGAGATGGGAAGTACAGTGCCTGCACTCTGAAGGAGGGGTGTTAATGTTGCAGTTTAAAAACTGTAGTGTAAAGCACCCTTCTGGCAAGACAGTGATGGAGTGAATGATGGTGAAAGTTTTTCTTTTTCGGGCCACCCTGCCTTGGTGGGAATCGGCCAGTGTGATAATAATAATAAAAAATTTACTTAATACTTTTGTATACCTTTATTACAGTGTCATACTGGAATTATGGAAGGAGGCCATTATGTCTGCTATGCTAGGAACCCACAAGGAAAGTGGATTTGCTTTAATGACAGCAGCTGTAAGGTAATGTTTTTCACCCTTATTTTTAAGTTAAGTGCTAAGAATTAATATTTCGATGTAGATTTTATCTTGCTTTCTCCCATCTGTTTTACTATGAAAGTTCCCTTGGAGAGCAACAAAATCACTTACTGTACCTTGTTAATGATAAAGAACAGCATTTTATTATTTAAAAGTCCTGCTGTTTTAACAAAATATATTTAGTGTAGCATTTAAAAAATTAAATAATATAATTAAAGTAAAAGTTAATGAATATTGTAAGATGCATAATAATTTTTGACTTGTAAAAGTTAGATTTTTGTATGATCATATATCTTTTTATTACTGTGATAGTGTAATTATTTTTTTTTCATCATCTACAGGAGGTAAATGAATCACAAATCGATCTCAATTCTGCCTACATGTTGTTTTACCAGCGTGATGGCCTTAGCATGGACAAATACATGCCCAATGTAGAGGGTAAAGTACCTTTTCCAAAGGAATTAGATGAGGAAAGTGAGGCTGAATACAAGAAGCAGTGCCGAGTGATGTAAAGCAATAAAAACAAATGCCAGAAGCTGTGGGATTCTGTTAGTCTATATTTTTCATAGCTTTTTTGAGTTTGGGTTTACTAACCTCATGTTATTTATGATGAAATGCCTATTATAAAGTAAGTATGTTCTTCATTCCTACCTAGACTATTATTTAATATATTACATATGGTTACATTGTTTTTCTCTTGTATATAATAATTGAACCTGTCCCAAATGGTCAGGACAAAGAGCATTTGATAAACTAATATTTTTGCCTGATCAAGAGTTGCTATGGTAGCCTTACTAAGCCTCACCCCTTGGTCTTGACACTTCTACTACTCTCTTCCCTATCACAATTATCATTATTTACACCAGGTATAGAATAAGACGTCTTATCAGCCATTACTGCATATTTAATGTGTTGCTTATAGTAAAATAGCAAAGACACCATCTGGCTGGCTTGTTGCATGTAAACAAGCACACCAAGATACAAAATTTATGAAATTATAATATGTATTCTCTTGTTTTTAGTTAAAAGGTTTATCAAAATATATTAGGTTACTTATCTCTTTTTATTTCTTAATGATTAACATACTGTATCTAAAAACCTTAGACTTTATAAAATGATGGCAATATCCGGGGTTGGTAAATACCCACTGAAATGAATACAGATTAATATAGGTAAATACTGTTGCTAGATATTTATTTTGGTTACACTTATCATTACAGATATTTTTCTTGTAAAGAATTTACTGTACATTGTTGCATCTTACACATCAGTAATAGAGTATAGTTAAACAACAGTTACAAGTGACAAGATCCAGCATGTAAATAAAAAACTAAAATACAATTTTTCTAGATTAAATGTCTTTTTTTTTTTTTTAAGCTGTTTCTGTGAATGTGCATTAAAAAGTGTAGAATGTGTTTGGGGAGAAGTAGAGTGTTATTATCTAGAAATTGTTATTATTTTGCATTAAAACTACATTATAGAAAGTGTGTTTTGTGAAGTGTTTATGTGAGTTTAGAGACTCATAACATTGTCATCCTTCTTGATCAATAATAAGGTATTGATGATCAAAACAAAGTATTTGTCAGTGTATTTTACCACAACTATTGCAGTATGCTACTAAATGTTGCCACTTGTAGTGTTGTCTGTTAATTTATATGACTGTGGAATTTAACTTAATATTAAAATGCTTCTCTGGGTTTGTTTCTGGGTATATCTGGAGTACAGTACCATTCTCCTTTCCCATTGTCTGAATTTTGCATTGATGAATGTATTGATCCAGGTGTTTTGTTGGCAATCATTGGTGGATCCGAGATGTGCATTGCAGTATCGGGTTCTGTCTGCGTCTTTGGCTGATCCACAGGCTCTCTTTGCTCTTACCATTGTCTCTTCTTTTGGATATGAAGTCCTCTACCTCCTGGCACTTTTCATATAGGTACTCTGTCATGAGAGGAGCTTACATAAGTGTTTTTACTCAGGCTGTTGGTACTGGATTGAGTTGTAAAAATGCCTGATGTTAATGCCTACTCATCATTGGCAAGAAAACTTTAATATATAATAAGTATTCTAAGTTATTCTAGAGCCTTATTATAACTTGTGTATGGTACTGTTCCATCTTCTGCAGCTGGAAATTCAATTCTTTCATGGTATTATGCCATTATCTGAGAACCTCACTCCAGATGTAACTGTTATACCCCTCTTAAATAACCCATTTGTAATACAAATGACTGAAAATTAAGCAGAAATTTTGATACGCATTTTTTTGTGGATAGAGGGGTCTTGGGAGTCCTGACACCTTTTTTTTTTTTTAGGTTACAGTATATTAATTATGTATATGCAGATTCACTATCCACAACCTTGCAGAATGCTTTGCTCACATGCAGAGGGTATACAGTATAGTAACCTAAAAATTTTGTTGCTCTATCTTGAGATCAGATCATTTCATATAATAGTCTATTGTTTGCTCAACCCCATACTCTTCCTGGAGGTTAGTAATGCAAACTCTTTGATATATTTTTTCACAGCTTCTTCATTGTTTTACTTCGTCTTTGTTGAATTATTTTGTTTTCCAGTACAGTGGTACCTTGACTTATGAGTGCCCCAACTTATGAGTTTTCTGAGTTACGAGCCATCGCTCGGCTGATTTTTTGCTTTGAGTTGTGAGCCAAAATCCGAGTTATGAGCGAGCTTCAGATACGCTTCAGATATAATAATAAAATATAATAATTGCTCTTTAGTGCTTTTAATGTCATACGTATTTCGTATAGGTTTGGTAGGTTTTGGCAGCCAAGACAGGACTCTCAGCAATGGTTTCAAGTTGGAAAAATTCAGATTCAGGGAGGATATAGGAAAGCACTGGTTTGGTAATAGAGTTGTGGATGAGTGGAACAAACTCCCGAGTACAGTTATTCAGGCTAAAACGTTGTGTAGTTTTAAAAATAGGTTAGATAAATACATGAGTGGGTATGATTTGAACCTGACTAGCTTGTGCTGCTGGGTCTGGTGCAGTGCTCCATCCTTGAGTGGAGGTGACCAGACTAGGTGGGTCATTGGGCTAATCCGGGGGGGGGGGGGTGCATGGACCTGCTCCGCATGGGTCAGTAGGCCTGTTGCAGTGTTCCTTCTTTCTTATGGTTTTATGATATTTAAAGCATTCCAGAGCGATTATTATTATTATTATTATTAATTATTATTATATAAATTATTATTATTATTATTATTATTATTATCACCATTGACATACATTGTTCACCGAGTTTAATCATTGCTTAATTAAGCTGCCACAAGAGACACCGAGAATGTAAACACACAGATGTACACCCCAGCTAACCCCTCTACTGTGAACTTCTTTTGTACTTCTTTCATTCTTTGTTCTTCTTTCTCTTTGTACAATAAATACAGTATTCAGCTCTCACCCTACATTAAAACTACAAATATTTTAAGGTAAGTAATAAGTGTGCTGTATATACATTTTTTTTTTTTTTTTTTTTTTAACAAACCGGCCATATCCCACCAAGGCAGGGTGGCCCAAACAGAAAAACGAAAGTTTCTCTTTTTAAATTCAGTAATTTATACAGGAGAAGGGGTTACTAACCCCTTGCTCCTGGCATGTTAGTCACCTCTTGCAACACGCATGGCTTACAGAGGAAGAATTCTGTTCCACTTCCCCATGGAGGTAAGAGGAAATAAACAAGAACAGGAACTAGAAAGAAAATAGAAGAAAACCCAGAGGGGTGTGTGTATATATGCTTGTACATGTATGTGTAGTGTGACCTAAGTGTAAGTAGAAATAGCAAGACATACCTGAAATCTTGCATGTTTATGAGACAGAAAAAAAGGACACCAGCAATCCTGCCATCATGTAAAACAATTACAGGCTTTCGTTTTACACTCACTTGGCAGGACGGTAGTACCTCCCTGGGCAGTTACTGTCTACCAACCTACTACCTAGATACATTGTATATACTACAATAAAATTGGGGTGGTTTTTTGGGTGCTGGAACAGATTAATGGCATTTCAATTAATTTCAGTGAGGAAAATTGATTTGATATATGAGCAAATTGAGTTACGAGCTCGATCACGGAATAAATTAAACTCGTAGGTCAAGGTACCACTGTACTGTGAAACCAGATTTAATGGATTTCAGATATAACAGACAAAATCTGTGGCCAGATAACATTAGAAATTAACAGACCCTTTTTTAAATCAAAATCATGTGTTACAGTTGTTGTGTGCTTGGTAAATTTATTTTTGGATTTAGCAGACTAAGTAGGTTAAATTTAGAATTGTCCATTACTGTTGCAGTCATGAAAAAATTATTCTTACAATTTTGATTCAATGAACAATTGGCTTCAGTAGACACCCCCTTCTCCACTATTAATCCATTAAATTGAGGGTTCACTGGTACATGCATTGCTTTCTGCAGTTAACACTTGTGTAACCCTTTTTACACTGCCATCTTCCTAATCACAATCACAAACAGACAGAAGAGATGTAGAAAAACATTTCCAGTCATTTATTACTGCATAATTACAGCAGGATAAACATAAAAATAGCTAAGGCATGCTATCTAGTTCACCTGTGACTTGTAAACAAAGACCCTAGATAAAGCTAAGGAATGTAGGGCTACCACAGTAGCCCTACTTATGAGTTTAATGCTTAGTTATGATTATAATAATAATAATTAAAGACTTCATAAAGTATGAACTAGTAGCTGAAGACTTTAATTATAATGAATTCCATATATACATTCATACTCTACCTGTATTTTTTCACTTAATAATCCTGCAGCCCTTTTCATTCTAAAACAAAACAAGCTGGATCCGATCCTGATTGTAAGACAAACTCTCATGCAAAGAAACAAAATTAAAAAACGTTCTCTATATGAGGGGAAGATTTAAAAATGCTAAATAGAGTTCTTGGGTAACATACAGCATTAAATATTTTCTTGCATCAGTCATTGACAATTATTTTCATATAGCATTCCTTATTTTAACATGTTTTATATACCCTGTACAGTGATTTACATAATTCAGGAGTTACATAAAAAAAAATCGTCAACACCACCGTTTGGTTAAAAATTAACTTTTTAGAGTGACACTGTGGAGGGAGAAGATTAAGGAGTCAAGAAGCTGAGGCTGTAACATGGATAAGCATGACTGGGATCACAAATGAAATCTCATCAAATATTTAACTACTACTTTTGATTACTGTAATTCACTGACTGCCCCAATTTGACTGAATTCTTGAGTTTGCGAACAGCTTGCTTACTTTTTTTTTTTTTTTTTTTTTAGCACATCAGCTGTTTCCTGAGGCAGGGGTGACCCAAAGAGAAAAAAAAACTTTCATCATTCAGCACTTTCACCATCATTCATACATAACCACTGTCTTTGCAGACACACTCAGATACGACAGTTTAGATGTACCTCCAAACAGCCAATATCCCAGACCATGGACTCTGTGCCAGTGCCTATGAGTCACATGTCCATGGCAACACTAAACCAGATTCAGGCAGACTTGTTAGCCACTGTGAGTCAGGTCTCAATGCTGTTCTCAGTGCCACACCTGAAACCTCTGACCGGCTAACCGGTAACTTAGAAATATCAATATATTGTAATTTTATACTTTTCAAGTATAAGAAAAATGACATTGTAATTTGTTTTTTCAAGGTATCGAATAAAAATATTTGCCAATGATATATGGAAGCAGAATATATCTGGAGATTTTAACATTTACCTTAAGTAAATATGAGCAGAGATATTCACCATGAGTGAACATAATGTCAAAAAATGCTGTATATTTTGTCCTAGCTAGGTTTTTTTTTTTTTTTTTTTTTAAGGAAATATATCAATAAATTATTTGTGATTTGAATGACATCATTTACATAGTAATAACCAGTAAAGTGTGTATCACGTAGATCTATGGCATCACATATCTATTGGGGAACTAGGAATAACATTGATCATTTAATTTTTGCAGGCTTAATTTAAGTGAGAGGTGATAATTTCTATTGAGCAGACATCTTTCCTTTTAGGCAAATCATGTATATATGCAGTAAAGAGTAGAATGTGCTTTATGCCTCACCAAGATGGTTGTTTATAACAGTAAACATAGTGGCCAGAGAAGCATTGAGGTTTTGTATTTAACATGGGTTATGAGCAACTATCATGAGAATTTGAGAAAGAAGGAGCACGGCAGCATTCCTACTGGCTCATGTTACACAGGTCCAACTCGCACCCACCCACACAATTGTCTAACCTATTTTTAAGCTACCCAAGGTTTTTGCCTTGGTGACACTACTGGAGAATTTGTTCCACTAATCCACAACTCTTACCAGACCAATACTTTATATCTTTTCTAAATCTAAATTTTTCCAACTTGAACCCATTGCTGTGAGTCCTGTCATGGTTAGATATTTTTATTACATTATTTATATCCTCTCTATTTATTCCTGGCTTCCATTTATACTCCTCAATCATATCCTAATACTATGCCTTTCCAGGGAGAACAGATTTAGCACCCTCAGCCTATCCCAGTAGGGAAGATTTCTGATAAATGAGATCAACTTTGTCAGTAAATATTAGGCACTGAGTTGCATTAACAACTGCACACACATACCTTGATGCTGTGAATATAAAATAAAGATGTTAGGTAAAAGGACACAAGTGCAACTAATGTGATATTTTATTGCAGCAACGTTTCGCTTTCCAGGAGCTTTATCAAACCATAACGGCTTGATAAAGCTCCTGGATAGCGAAACGTTGCCACAATAAAATGTCACATTAGTTGCACTTGTGTCCTTTTACCTAACATATTGTCGGTAACTACCAACATTAACCCTTTCAGGGTCCGTCCCGTAGATCTACGGCTTTACGTTCAGGGTCCAAACCGTAGATCTACGCCATGAGCTCAGCTCACTCTGATAAACTGTGAGTGGTACATTTGGGCCTAGATGTGAGAGAATACATCTATGTGGTATGTGTGCACCACATAAAACAGATCCTGCAGCACACTGTGTATAATGAGAGAAAAAAAATGAAATCATGATTTTTCGATTAAAACAGCAACTTTGCAGTGTTTTTTCGTATGTTTTTTATAGTTGTATTTGCGATTTCTTGGTCTCATTTGATAGAATGAAAGACATATTACAGAAATAGAGATGATTTTGATTGGTTTTAGCACTGGAAATGGCTTGAAACTGAGCTCAAAGTAGCAGAAATGTTAAATTTTTGCCGATATTCAAGAGTAAATAAACGACCTCACACGTCTAATACACTTCAGCTGGTGGGTCTAATATACATTCACAAATATGGTGATGATATTTATACAATTATTACAGTATTGCAAAGCAGTAAATCTTCTATTTTTTGGTGTGAATAAAAATTCATTATGTGAATAAAAAATCAAAATGGAATTTATTTGTAAAGCCTCAAAACATAACTAATGACAGAGGAAATGTTAGTTTAGTGCAGGAATGCCTACATTGTTCATTCTGGACCCTATTTTGAAATTGGAATATTTTGAACTTTGTGTTAAATTGGCCAAATTAACAATTTCCGATCACTTTATTTTGTAGTTGAAACAGTTGACTTGGCGATTTCTTGGGCTCAATCGATAGAATAGAAGTAATACTAGTGAAATAGCTAAGAATTTGGTTGATTGGAATAATGTAATTGGCCTAAAATGGGAGTCAAAGTCGGCAAAATCGCCGATTCGTAAATATCGCTGACACATCAAAATTCGTGAGAGCATAATTTCGTCAATTTTCCACCAAATTTCGTACTTTTTGTTTTATTACCTTCACAAAAAGATTCTCTACGATTTCATAAGAAAAAATAACAAATTTTTTTTTTGAAAATTCTTGGACACTGGTGCGTGACTCCAGATTTGGGCCTTGGACCCTGAAAGGGTTAATACAAAATAAAGATGGTTGGAAGACTTCAACAGCAGGGCAGTAAATGTGTTTGCAGTGCGGTATAGTAATAAAATACAAAAAAAATAGTAAGCCATATTTTAGTGCTATTCATGAGGTAAAGAAAGACACTGATAAAGAGTGCATTGGCAAGCATCAATCCTTGAAAATAAAGGACTAATAAAAAACAAGTAATAAGATTGTGGATGACTGCAAATAGGTTAAGTAGCACATCACCAACTTACTGGTATTGTCACACTATTATAGCTGAAGTAACTTTCCACTTCCCAAGTATATGGATTTCAATCTATACAACATATTGCACTGAATGACCATCTGGTCTGTAATTTTTAAAACCTCTTTCACTCTAACCACAAGGAAGCTGATGACTTGAACTTATACACCAGCAATCCTACCATCATGTAAAACAATTACAGGCTTCTGTTTTACACTTGCTTGGCAGGACGGTAGTACCTCCCTTGGTGGTTGCTGTAATTATTATTTTTTTTCCTCCACTTATCTAGGTGTCTCATGGGATGGCTCATAATAAAAGAAAAAAAAGGGTAAAATTGTTTAAGAGGGAGGGTGAGGCTTCTCTCAGGCTGCCATTTAACATCCAGTCTTCAGCTCTCATAAAGCATATTACATACTTTTGTAGTACGAAATGCCATTGCTGTTCTCGTCAAGAACATTGACCAACAAAAGTGAAAAGAAGCGCATTTATCCATACTTAAGAATTCTTAAAAAAATTATCATAGAGGAGCAGCATCAGCATGGCAGACATTCAAAATTGGGTACATTTTTTATGCCTGTTCCTTGTTCTCCATCTTTTCAGCCATTTATGACTTCATAGTGGAGCTTTACAGCTTCACTGACTCAGAATACAAGTATCAGAATACAAGTATAGTGTCTTATAGTAACTCAGAATACAAGTATTCTGAGTTACTATAAGACACTATAACAAAATACATCATATTTCTTCTCCACAAAATGTAAGCAAATTACTGAACTATACCCTGCATGCATAGTCTCATAGTACATACTTTCAACTGCTTCATTTTTATTTACAGTGCAGTACTATATTCTTTAACATGCCATAATATTCTTAAGTGTGCAGTAGTGTCTCCAGACCCAACAGACTAAGTCTACTGAATCCGAACTTTGCCCATTTATATAACAATTGCTGGTTTAGAAAGACACGTAAGCAAACCAACTTGTCGGTATTTATTACTAAGGTTTATACCATATAACAATTGTGAAAAATAAATTTCATAATTTGAAATCAGTGTAAAATTGGTATCATTGGACACCAGTCCCCTATTAGTCTGTTAAATTAAGGTTTTACTGAACATGTGTGTATGAATTTATTTATTTTATGTGTAATACTACAGTAATATTTTAGAGATTTTCATAATTGCATTATAGAAAAGTATCATATTAGTAGCTAATTCATTAACCCTTAAACTTTCCGAACGTAGGTCTACATTTGCGCGCGTAGCGCTCCGACCTTTATTTTCTCCATAAGAAAGCATGTAAAACAAAACATAGATCTACGTTCAGAGCACTACACGAGCGAACGTAGTTCTATGTTTGGACAGTTTAAGGGTTAAAGAGCCACTAGATATATTTCAAGATTTTCACACATTGAAACATCTCTATGTATACCAAAAGACTGTTCATCATATTTGTTATTATCTGAATGGAGAGCTAAAAAAAAAAAGAAAAAAAACTTGCTGTTGCCATTGTTATGTACTGTATGTGCACTTTATGTATTTGCTTGGAAAAAAATAATTTTTTCAATAATGTATAGCCTTTCCTCACTTAGTGACATACTCGTTTACCGACGACTTGGACTTATGACGGGCTCTCTGGGCAGTATGCCTACCTAAAAAAATGTATATTAAAGCTGATTTCTTCTATTCTTTTATTACAAAATACTGTACACTACTGTATAAACAATTAAAAAATATACCAGAAATGTTGCAAAGGTGACATTAAAACAATATCAAAAATGGTTGACAGAAACCCCCTACCATTATAGCATGCTCCTCACTTAGCAATGAATTCGTTTACCGATGTGATCTAAGGAGCAGAACTCCGTTATTAAGTGAGGAGAGGCTGTAATTAAGATATATAATTTTTACCACAAATTAAATTGTTCTGAAGTAAGGAAAAAATGTTTGTGTAAATTGAGGAACCACTTACTTGTTCTCTACACAACGTTTAACTTAGTACAGTATCCCTTCTTCCAATTTGTTTTCTAGCACCGACGCTTCATTTTCATAAGTACACGTACTGTAATTGAGGTCCAGGGATCCCTCTGCTGTCAGGTCAGCAGTCAAAAATAACCTTAGTCAGGATGTGGTGGTGGTGTCAGCAGTATATCAGCACTAGCAACCATTAGTGTAAGGATGGTTGAACATGAGCACTGACGGTTGACCTGTATGATGTCATAGCTATGATATGTGTATGTGTGAGGCACAGTTTACAAGTCAACACAGATGAGGGTAAGTCCACACCACAACAGTGGCAGTCTCTTTGGTTTATCAAATCATACACAGAAAGTAATTTATCATACTTTAAAACAATATACACATAGTGCAGGATTCAGTGTTTAGATTTTGATAAACAACTGAAGAATATTACCATTACTACACATAAATCACAGTAGAGATAATTGTCACACAGGAAGTGAGGACTCTTAAACAGTATTAAAATAGAGGGAAATTGTATAAGGTACTGAAAAGATGGAAATAAGACACAAATGCAGTATAATGCAGCAGTCCTCCTCCTCCTCCTCCTCCTCCTCCTCCTCCTCCTCCTCCAGGAAAGGCTACAAATGGATTTGGACAGGCTGCAGGTTTAGTCTGACGAGTGGTTACTAGAGTTTAACCCCAGCAAGTACAAGTTATGAAGTTTGAAGAAGGGCAAGAAAAGACCACCGCCACCACCCTCCTCCTCCTCCTCCTCCTCCTCCTCCTCCTCCTCCTCCTCCTCCTCCCCTCCTCCCTCTCCTCCTCCGGCTCTCGTCCGTCCGCCTTGCCTCGTCCGTTCCGTTTTCTGCTCTCTGTCTCTTCCTCTCCGTCTTCTCTGTCTCTTCGTCTCTTCCCTCTCGCTCTTCTTCGCTTCTTCTTCGTTCGTCTTCTTTCTTCTTCGTCTCTTCTCGTTCTCTCGTCTCTCTTCGTCTTCTTCTCTCGTCTTCTCTTCTTCGTCTCTCTCTCTTCTTCGTCTTCGTCTTCTTTCGTCTTCTCCTTCGTCTTCTCTTCGTCTTCTCTTCTTCGTCTTGTCTTCTCTTCTCTCTTTTCTCTCTTCTTTCTTCGTCTTCTGTCTTCTTCTTCTGTCTGTCTTCTGTCTTCTTCGTCTTTCGTCTTCTTCTTCGTCTTCTTGTCTTCTGTCTTTCTTCTTCGTCTTTTCTTCTTCTTCTCGTCTTTCTTCTTCTTCGTCTTTGTCTTCTTCTTCGTCTTCGTCTTCTTCTTCGTCTTGTCTTCTTCTTCGTCTTTTGTCTTCTTCTTCGTTCTTTGTCTTCTTCTTCGTCTTTGTCTTCTTTCTTCTTCTTCGTCTTTGTCTTCTCTTCGTTTGTCTTTCTTCTTTGTCTTCTTCTTTTGTCTTCTTCTTTGTCTTTTCTTTGTTCTTCTTCTTTGTCTTCTTCTTCGTCTTTGTTCTTCTGTCTTCTTCTTTGTCTTCTTCTTGTCTCTCTTCTTTGTCTTTCTTCTTCTTGTCTTCTTTGTCTTCTTCTTGCTTCTCTTTGTCTTCTTCTTCTTCTTTCTTCTGTCTTCGTTCTTCTTGTCTTCTTCTTCTGTCTTCTTCTTCTTTCTTTTCTTCTTCTTCTTCTTCTTCTTCTTCTTTCTTCTTCTTCTTCTTCTTCTTCTTCTCTTCTTTCTTCTTCTCTTCTTCTTCTTCTTCTTCTTCTTCTTCTTCTTCTTCTTCTTCTTCTTTATCTATCTATCTATCTATCTATCTATTTTATGTCTTTGCAAACAGTACATTGAGATTTTATATTTACAATAGTGAGTTGCAATGCAAAGAGAGCCTCTATTATGCCTAGGCATTATGGGCCAACTTAACATTATTGGCTTACAGTCTACTTAACACTAAGGATTTTATCATAGTTGTACAGTAGGACAGTAATTATTTCATAGTTGAACAGTAGATTATTAATTATAAGTGAATTAAATTTGTATAAGACAAAGGATATACATGTATTCATATAGTCTAAAATGCTTTTTGTGAAAACAATGGTTCAATTATTTTCCTGTCAACAGTGGATAAAAGGTTCAAAGTGATTGTTGAAGTTATGATGTGGGAGTACATAGGTGAGTATGTGTGTACTGAGTATATAGCGTTTAGTCTAGGGTGATTAAATGGCTTTTGAGAAGTCTTAAACTGATTTTCAGACTGGGTGACTTTAATATCTTCTGGTAATGAATTCCATATTTTAGGGCCCTTTATGTGCATAGAGTTTTTACACAGTGTGATAAGGACATGAGGTATATCAAAAAGAGATCTGTGTCTTGTGTTGTGGTCATGTG